TCCTCGTGCGGGCTCTCGCCAGAATCGGTTTCCCTCAGCATATTTGCCATCACTTTAACCTTGATGGCCCATTCTCTTTCAGATCTCCATATCTAAGTCTCATCACCTTATCATTTCTGATGCAGCTTCGGCAGCCTCTTCCGCTGAACATAGTTGGGATAAAATTTCGAGAGACTTCACAAGTGAACGGACTCTGCCTAAGAGATGGGGAAAGCGAGCACCTGGCAGAGTTTCTGAAGTCAAAGATTCCAGCGGCTGCTTCCCAAGGAAGGAGAGCCGTGGGAAAGGGGGGTTGGGGTGACACAGGGCAGCTGCCTGGGCCCCCTTCCGCTGGGGAGCACTCCATGGTCCCTGCTGCCCAGCCCAAATGACAATCCCCAGCTGAGGGTGCCTCCCTCCAGGGCAGCCCACATTCAGTGGCCGCATAGCAGGTTTAGGGGTGTAAAGGCCCGGCCAGTTTCCTCAACGGGGCCATCTGAGGGGCTACCGTGCTCCAGGGCCCCCTGAGAATCAGCTGAAGCCTCCATCGTGGTGCACGCCTGTAATCCCAGCTACTCAGGAGGCTGAGGCAGGAGAATCGTCTGAACCCCAGAGGTAGAGGTTGCAGTGAGCTGAGATCACATCATTGCACTCCAGCCTGGGCAACAAGAGTGAAACTCCGTCTCAGAAAAAAAGAAGACAACTCCCAAACATTCCCTCCCCGACTTGCTGGCCCTCCCTCAGGCCACTCACACGGGTCCTGGCATCCGCAGGCATTTTCTGCCAGGCGGCGTGCGGTTCTCCCACCCCCACCCTGCTTCTGAAGGTGCACCTGGTGACACTTTGTATCATTTTGCTGCAAGCTTCTTCCACTTTCTTATGCTCCCTGGACTCCTTCCATACTGGTGCACATCGACCCACCTCCCTTCCACAGAGGCCAAGCAATGCAGGAGGCACCACGGTTCACTTCCCTGTCCCCCTCTCCCCATCAGGTCACTTAGGGGGTTCTGCTTTGACAGGGGAGGAGCAGTCTCTGTGGGTCCGGTCCGTGCCTAGACGAGCTGTGTGCCGGTAACTTCAGGACCAAGGGCTAAGCATGTGGTCACCATGCAAATGTGACCTGCATTTTAGAATTAACAGACCCAGCAGGGCACAGACACTGTGCCCTCCCGCCAGCAGGGTCTGGGGCTCCTGCATCCTTGAGTACTCCCAGGGGACCGTGGAGCTTCCTCGTGTCGGGGAGGAAACACTGCCTTCTTCCGGGTGAGTTTCTTTGTTTTTGTTTTGAGACAGAGTCTTCCATCCTGGGTTCAAGCGATTCTCCTGCCTCCGCCTCCTGAGAGCTGGGATTACAGGCATGCAGCACCCCACATCCAGCGAATTTTTGTAGTTTGTTTTTAAGTAGAGACGGTTTTGCCATGCTGGCTGAGCTGGTCTCGAACTCCTGATCTCAGGCCATCTACCCGCCTCAGCCTCCCAAAATGCTGGGATCACAGTCGTGAGCCACCAAACCAGGCCTCTGAGTTTTCTTTAATTATGACAACGTCGCATATTCTGTAAAGGAAGAGAGCGGCAGAGGGTCTGCTGGCCTTTCTCACAAGCGCAGACTTCGGCCCCAGTGGGCACTTGGCCATTCCTACCTGGCGGTCTCCCTACTCCACAGGGAGAGTGACCCTGAGACGGTCCCCCTGGACCCTTTGTACCCTTCACAGAAGGACAAGCAGAGGCCCTGAGGGGAGCAATAGCCACACAGGAACCCCAGAGCCCACAGAGCCCTCGGGTGAGATGTCCAGCCCACCGAACCCGTCCCTGCCGCCACAGCCCACACACCCATGGAGCCCTGCGCTGGGTGGACAGACACCAGGAGTCCTCACTTCCTCCATGGCGGACACTGAAGGTGACCTCGTGCACAGACTGCACAGTGAGGGGCCTGACTGAGGGGGAGGTCCCAAGGCCAAGGCCAGCGCTGCTCACAACGGGAGAGTCTGCCAATGGCGGGGGCGTCTCCTCGCTCCCCTGATGAAGGCCTCACAAGGCGCCGCTGACGCCTCCTAGAAGTTTAATAAAAAAGCACCAAACAACCAATCTCGGAAGGTCGTTAGCTTCAAAAAAAAAAAAGAGTAACAGCACTCCCCACTTTGAGAAACTGTTTATTACATGCCACACACTCTGGCCCAGGAATCCCCCGAAAGCCCTAGGCCACACCCCTCCATACCTCGGGTCTCTTACTTTGGAATGCAGGCATTCAGTGAATGATTATGAAATCTTAGAGCGGCAAAAGCTATCCCAGGCCTCACCCCAAAGCCAGAAAGGGCAAAGAGAACTTGATACATTTAGCTACAGAGGAACTTTAAACCCTGTGCATAGTCAAAACACAAAAAGGCTGGATGCAGTGGCTCACACCTGCAATCCCAGCACTTTGGGAAACCAAGGAGGATGGATCCCTCAAGTCCGGGAGTTCGAGACCATCCTGGGCAACATGGCAAAATCCCATCTCTACAAAAAAAAAAAAAAAAAAAAAAATTAGCCAGGCGTGGTGGCATGCACCTGTAGTCCCAGCTACTGGGGAGGCTGAGGTGGAAGGATCACATGAGCCTGGGGAGGTCAAGGCCAAGGCTGCAATGAGCTGTGACCACATCACTGCACTCCAGCCTGGGTGTACCCAGAGTAAGACCCTCTCTTAAAACAAAGCAAAAACAAACAACAAAAAAGGCTGAACAAACAAAACACCAAAAGCCAAAGCTAAAAGAAAAATGACAGAAAAATAAATGCAATGTACAAGAGTATACTGTGCTACTGTATAATGCTCTGTGCTACTGCACTGTTGTGGCACAATATACTTTTTGAGACAAAGCCACGTTCTGTCACCCAGGGGAGTGCAGGGGCACAATCTCTGCTCACTGCAACCTTCACCTCCTGGGTTCAAGCAAGCCTCCAGAGTAGCTGGGATTACTACTTGTATGCCATCACACCCGGCTACGTTTTGTATTTTTTAACAGAGAAGGGGTTTCACCATGGTGGCCAGGCTGGTCTGGAACTCCTGACCTCAGGTGATCCACCCATCTCAGCCTCCCAAAGTGTTGGGATTACAGATGTGAACCCCCGCACCCGGCCATACATTGCATTTACACTCTTGTACAGAGCAGCAAATGGCACAGAGAGCTAAATTCTTTACCGTAACAAGCTCCTGGAATCCCTAAGAAAAAGACACACAGCCCAACAGAAAAATAAAAAATGGGCAAAGAACACAGACAGGCAACATTCCAAATGGCCAATAATAAAATGAAAAATTGTTCATCACCAGCAGTCAAAGAAATTAGGATTAACGTGATGAAACGGGCTGTTTTGCCTCAGATTGCCAGAGACATAAAGCAATGACACGCCTTAGGGCTGGCAAGAGGGCAGGCAAGCCCGCAGCCCACTCACCAGTGGGTGGACGGCAGGCTGGTCCCGCGTTTCTGAAGGGCATTTGGCAAAATACAGCATAGTCTGGCCACCGGCCTCTGCTAGGGATTCGCCCCCAGGAAATGCTCAGAGCCGTTCCAAGGATGCCTCAGGAAAGCTGTTCATCACAGCACTGTTTTAAAAACGTTGACGCAGTGTGCCAAAACGTTAATAGCCCATGTCTCTGGGAAGTTACCTTATTAATTAGATCATCTCCCGCAAAGTTTGGTAAGGCAAGAGTATTTCTTTATGAGAAAAAATGGTTTATTGAAAAAATTCACGAAGGCATTAAAACAATGCTTTCAAGGGTTTTCTGACCCCAAAATTGGCCCTCCAGCTTCCCAGGCTGGTATGACCAGAACCACCCCTGTAAGGCAAGTCTCTGATTTCGGTCCTATCAAACCTCCGACACTTTCTAGGCGAGAACCAAACTCACAGATTCATCGTCCAGATCCGTGTGGGTCAGGGCCCGGGGGCTCACAGGGGCAGTGCGGTGTCCTGCATGCCATCTGCCCCTTCCACGAGTGGGGGCCGTGGGAGGATCCAGTGGGGTCTGCCCGTTCCCCGCCGCCCGAGGATGCTGAGCACACCCGGGCCACCGCCGGGCTCGGGCACATACCCTGGACCTTTCAAAAAACAAAAGTGGAAAGACTTTCAAGGTCACATGGCCAGTGCACAGCAGAAGCAGAAACAGCGGCCGCCTCCAGGTCCAGGGCAGTTCCTAGAAAACCGTTCCCTCCTCTGAATCTGGTGGCAGGTGTGTGTTCGAGGAGCCGCCGCCCCGGGCCTCCTCAGACAGGCTGCGCGCCCACTCCCCGCCGCAAGCTCGAGTGGGGCAGCGGCGGGGACACGCGGAGTCCGCCCCCGACCCCAGCCCAAAGCTGTGCTCAGCCCGGAGCCCCGCGCGAACTTCGAGGAGGAACTCGGCCGGCGGCCGCGGCCCCGAGCGCTTTCCCACGGCCACGCCCCTCGCGCCCAGAACTTCCCGGCGACCCCGCGCCCCCCGCGCGCCCCCTCGGCACCAGCCCCGGAGGCGGCCGCGACGCGGGAGGCGGGCAGCACCGAGCCCGGCCCGGCCCCAGGGCTTTCGCCCCGCACCCCCTGCGGAGGGTGCCGCGTCCGAACCAAGCGGGCGGGTGGGGGCGTCCCCGGGGCGCGGGCGCGGCGGCAGGTGGGCGCGCTCTCGCGGGCGGGGGTCCGGCCGGGCCGCGCGCCTCCCCCGGAACTCGGCCGTGCCATTCCCATGATGCCCAGCCACGGGCACGGCTTCCGGAGCGCGGCCGCCGCCGCCGCCGCCGCCCGGTAGGTCGCGGGGAGGGGGCGGCCTGGGGGGGTCGCCCCGCCCCACGCCCCGCCCCTTCCCTCCCCTCCCGCGCTTCCCACAGCGCGGCCCGGGCTCAGGGCGGGGGCGGCGGCGGCGCGCGGGGAGGCGGGGAGGCGGGGAGGCGGGGAGGCGGGGGGCCCGGCCGGACGCCCCTGCGCCCCCTCCCCGCGCCCCGGCCGAGGGCGGAGCGCGCCGGCCCCGCAGCCTCCGGCCCGCCCCCCGCCCGCCGCCTCCCCCGGGACGCGGGACACGGGCGCAGGCGGGGTCGCGCGGCGGGCGGCGGGGTCCTGGCGGAGGTGAGCGGGCGCGGGGCCGAGGGTCTGGGCGGTCTGGGGGGCCGGGAGGCCGGGGACAGGAGGGCGGTGCAGGCCGCGGCGGGCGGGCGGGCGGCTGGGGCTCCCGGGGCAGGCGGAGGGGGATCGGCGCCGGGGCTGCTCCGTTCCCGGGCGGGGGTCCTGGCTCCGGCCTCCGCGCGCCTCTCGGTCCGCGCGTCCCGCGCCTCCGGGGCCCCAGGTGAGGCGCAGGTGAGGCCCGTAGCAGGGGAACCTAGGCCCGGCCCGGGGCGGCCGCTGCCCTCCGAGAATGGCCGCGGCCCGGCCGGCCCGGAGACTGCGGTTCACGCCCTGCGCCAGGCGGAGCTTCCGGGAGGGTGGCCGCTCTCCCGGGCCCCAAGCTCCCGAGTCCTCGGATCCCAGAGCCGTAACTCCCGGGCGCAGACCTGCCTGGAGGCCCGGCCTCTTCCCTGGGAGGCGTCCGCTCCCGCGGGGCGAGGTCCGGGTGGCCGAGCGTAGCGGCGGGGGTGATACGCGCGCCCCCGGGGAGGGGAGCGGCGGTGGGGGACCCTGCCCAGCCGGCAGGCCGTGAGCTGCCCGAGCTCGGGAGTCGGGGGAGGTCCGGCGTGGGCAGCCGGGAGGGGCTCACCTTGCCTGCAGTTCCCAAGCTCAGGAAATGGCGGTGCAGCTTTGCTGGGGGACGCTGGTTGTGAGGTTGTAAAATTGCAGCTTCTGCAAGGCTGGGAGCGGAGTTCCAGCCCACGCCCACTTCAGGGTGGCTGGCGCGGGCCCTCCTGCTGCCCCGCCTGCTCCGGCACCCGGGCTCCCCTCCCGGCCTGTCGACCCTGGCACCCCTACCCTGGGGGAAAACCCACCTGGGAGGCCAGAAGGCCAGCTGAGCTGCCTTTCGACCAACCGAGAAACATAGAGCATTTGGGGGCGTTTCTCACAGGTGTCAGACTGTTAGGATGAGGGGGGCCCAGTGTGGATGCTTTGACTCTCTCCGGCAGGTTGGTGTCCAGACCGAGAGGATGCCGGAGTGTTTTCCGCTGCTTCCTAAAATCTGACACCTCTGCGCCTCTGGCTGGGCCCAGACGTATCTCTAAGTACAGTTTAGGGGGCTTAGACGGTCATGCTCTGTTGCCCTGGCTGGAGTGCAGTGGTGGGATCTCTGCCTCCCGGTTCAAGCAGTTCTCATGCCTCAGCCCCCCAGTAGCTGGGATTACAGGTGTAGGCTACCACACCTGCCTAATTTATGTATTTTTAGTAGAGATGAGATTTCACCATGTTGGCCAGGCTGGTCTTGAACTCCTGACCTCAAGTGATCCATCTGCCTTGGCCTCCCAAAGTGCGGGGATTACAGGCGTGAGCCAGTGTCCCTGGCCCTAGTGGGCTTTTTGAGAATGATTCACATCCCATAATGTTTTAAAGCCACAGGCCGACCTAGGGAGATTCCCCCGTCAATTTTATTTATTTTTTTAAGATGGAGTCTCATTCTGTCTATCATGCTGGAGTGCAGTGGCTCAATCTCGGCTTACTGCAACCTCTGCTTCCCGGGTTCAAGCAATTCTCCTGGCTCAGCCTCCCAAGTAGTTGGGACTACAGGTGCGCACCAGCACACCTGGCTAATTTTTGTATTTTTAGTAGAAAAGGGGTTTCTCTATGTTGGTCAGGCTGGTCTCAAACTCCTGACCTCAGGTGATCTACCTGCCTCAGCCTCACAAAGTGCTGGGATTACAGGCGTCAGCCACTGTGCCTGGCCAGATTTTTTTTTCTTCTCTTGGACTAGGTGATTTGACAACTTAGAATACTGTTACCTAGGAGTCCAGGCCCTCTCTGCAATCAGGCAGAAGCTGTAAAGGAGGCTAGTGGAGAACAGAGTATTTCCCCAGGAAAACTCCCCTCCCCCACCTTGCCATCTAGTGCAAAGACACTCCCTGGGCCAGTTTTCTTAAAGTCGTATTTCTGTTTAAGGAGTTAATAGGGCCCAGTGCGGAGGCTTAGGCCTGTAATCCCAGCAGAGGCAGAGGGTGCAGTGAGCCAAGATTGTGCCATTACACTCCAGCCTGGGCAATAAGAGCAAAACTCCATCTTAAAAAAAAAAAAAAAAAAAAAGGAGTTAATACTGTTGATTTAGACTCTTATCAGCCCAAAGAGAATGCACGTGTTTTGTTATTTATGTCATATTGCAGAGGCAATTTGAATAACCTGCAATAAGACAGGCATGGGTCTGCTGGCCATGGTTGGTCCCCAGTGCTCTGTGTCATTGGGAATCTCTCCAGAAGGTGACTTTGTGCTGGATGTCATGGGCTGCAGTGGGTGGCCAGAATCTGAGAACTGGTAGACACTTCCCATCCCTGCCCCACCACTATCACTTCAGCCAGCATCAGACTTTTTGTCCAGGATAATTATACATTCCTTGTGCTTGAATGTATTTGTCTTAATGCATTAAATTAAATGTATTTGCATTGTGGTTTTAAATGTCTCAGGGTAAGTTCTTTCAAAAGTTAATTTTGAGCTCTTAAGTTAATGATATTTCTTTCCAGAAACATTATGTATCAACTGTAGCTTCAGCCTCTGATTAGATGCCTTCTCTTTGATTCTCGTAGTCAAAAGTCTGTTTAAAAAGCAGAGAAAGGGTGCCTCGGCGTGTAAGTGAAGAGATGAAGACCTGGCGCTGGGCATGTGGTGACACTGGCCGCCACTTCGTCCCCGTCAATCTGGACTCAGAGAATTTCAAGTAATTTCAAGTAATAATTGTATTTTCGTTTCCCTTTTAGAGCACAAATGACTGGCTTCTGAGTCTGCCTCGCCCCCTGGCAAATCGCTGGTTACCCTTCTGGGCCTCACCTGTGTCTAGGTGGCCAGCCTCACTTTTTTTTTTTTTTTTTTTTTTTGGAGACGGAGCCTCACTCCCTTGCCCAGGCTGGCATGCAGTGGCACAATCTCGGCTCACTGCAACCTCCACCTCCCAGGTTCACGCAATTCTCCTTGCCTCAACCTCCTGATTAACTGGGATTACAGGGACCCGCCACCACACCTGACTAATTTGTGTGTTTTTAGTAGAGATGAGGTTTTATGTTATTGGTCAGATTGGTCCTGACCTCAGGTGATCCACCCGCTTCAGCCTCCCAAAGTGGGAATCTCTCCAGATGATAGGCGTGAGCCCCTGCACCCAGCCGCAGCCTCACCTCTTTGAGAAAAGATGGTGGCATGTAAACAGCCGATTATGTGCTTGTCAGGAAGGAAGTGCCCCGTTCATTAGAGAGAGCTCCTGGTAGAGAAGAATCCACAACAGATGTAAAACACATGGGCTGGTTTTCTCCCACCACGAAGGTCCTGAGGGCGGCCACGGCCTCTGAGCCAAGGGGAGTTCTGTGTCTATCAGCCTTGGGGGCTCGCTTGCATGGGAACTGCTTTGCACTCCAATTTTGGGGTAGGCAGGTGGGGATCAGAGCAATATGTTCAGAATGAATAGCTGTTCGATGTCCCTAAGTGACCGCCGTCCACCTGGGGTTCCTCCCTGCAGCGGCAGTCCCCAGGCCTTTCGTGAGTAGGTCTTCAGAGTGTCCCAAGCCCAGCCCAGCAGTTCTGCTGAGGCAGCCACCTTTGGTCTGAAATCTGGAAGCGCGGGATGAGAAGGGGCACATCGCTGCGCTCAGGGTGACTTCTGTGCTGGTTAGCTGGGAAGAACGATGTGGTCCCATGAGACCGTCTGGCAAATGTACCTCTGATGTTTAACACAAAGAGGGCTTAGTAAAAGCAACGATTCAAGATGTCTGGGGAACTGATTTCCGAGTGGCTCACATCATACAACTTTTTGTTCCAGGAGCTCCCTGGTTGCATCAAGAGTGAATCTGCACGGGCCGCCCTGCTGATCCCGGGTTTATAGCCATCTTTTTTAACCTGCAAAGAAGCATTTGCAGACGTTCTGTCATGGGTAGCGCTTGCCAACCTTTGGAGGTAAATAAAGCCTCTCCCGTCTTACAGAGAAGCTGGAAGCCCGGAGTGAGAAGGGAAGAGCGGGGAGGTGCTGCGTGTGTGCCCCAGGCGGCACCATGGCGGGTGGTTTGAAACATTTTCTTACTGAATCTTCCCAGCAGCCCTGGGCTGGAGCGAGTAGATTGATCCTTTCCAGCTGAGGAACCCGAGGCCCCAGGAGCATGAGTCACTCACACAAGGACACCCAGCTAGCTGGACGTTGGGCTCTGGCCCACTCTCAACTCTGTGGGCCCGACGCGCTGCTCCTCTGGGGCCTCGCCTGCCGTTGCCTGGGGTAGCTGTGCTTAGCTGCATCACGCCCATGTGCTTTGTTTCCTCCCAGGATGTGAAGCCGGCAGAGAAATAAAGCGTCGCCCCTCTGCGCGTCCCTCCCCGCCTGCTAGAATGTTTCTCATGAACGCCCCTCCAGTGGTTGCTCTCCAGTCCAGATGGGAGGGCTTCGGCCCACCAGGGAGCTTTAGGCTCCCCGGGTGCTTCTCAGAGGCTGACGAGGGCGTGGAGAGTGCGGCGGTGAGCGCCCGGGTACAGATGCTCATCACCACGCTGCAGCGCGACGGGGCTGCTCGGGGCACCAGCGATGAGCGTGCCGTGCAGAGGGGCCACAGGGCGGAGGGATGCCACGACGCCAGGCCTGGCGGCCAAGCCCCCCACGCACAAGGAGCCGCCCGCCTTGGCTGCCTGTGGCCTTGTGGCTGGCATGGACCCCATGGGGGAGGAGGCAGCTGCAGACTTTGGCCCGTTGGTGCTAGGATTCAGACAGTGATGATTCCGTGGACCGGGACATTGAGGAGGCCATCCAGGAGTACCTGAAGGCGAAGAGTGGTGGGACACAGCCCGGGTCTGGCAGGGGTCCAGCCAGGCGCAGCCCAGCAGCCTTCCAGGGCCTCAGGTGGAGGCAGTAGATGTAAGCCAGAACCGGCTCACAGCAGTGCCCCGACTGCCCTGGGTCCCCCAAAACTTGCGCCTGGCTCAGGCAGTGGCCCTGGCAGCCAGGTGGCATCCAACCAGGACCAGGGCTCCGCCTCCCCGGTCAGCGTGAGCAGCGATGACTCCTTTGAGCAGAGCATCAGGGCAGAAATAGAACAGTTTCTAAACGAGAAGAGACAGCATGAGACCCAAAAATGTGATGGGTCAGTAGACAAGAAACCAGACCCCAGCGAGAATTCGGCGGCCAAGTCATTCTTGAAATCCCATCAAGAGCCGGCCACGAGGGGGCTGCATCGGCAGGGTCTGATGAGCGCCCAGAAGGAGTTCACCTTCCGCAGACCTCCGCGGTTAGCAAAGATGAACATGCAGCCCAGAAACCTCAGGTCCACGGGCACGACCACGCGGGAGAATGAGGGCAGCGCAAAGCCAGCAGCCCCCTGCCGCCCTTCAGAAGCAGCACAGAATCAAAGCGGGGTGAAGAGGAGCACCAGTGCCGCAAGGAGGGGAGGGCGAGTCCCCAGCGCGGCACAGGCGCCCGAGGCGTCCGACTCCAGCAGCGACGATGGCATCGAGGAGGCCATCCAGCTGTACCAGCTGCAGAAAACGCGCAAGGAGGCGGACGGGGACCCGTCCCAGAGGGCGCCGCTCCGCGAGGAGAGGCAGCCTGACCCTCCCGCACACAGCACAAGCAGTGCCACGAAAAGTGCCTTGCCTGAGACCCACAGGAAAACACCCAGCAAGAAGAAGCCAGTGGCCGCCAAGACCTCGGACCCTGGCCCCAGGGGCCTGGACACTGACCACTTCCCCAAACTCCTGAAGGAAACCAAAGCTCCGCCTCCTGTGAGCCCGGCTTCCAGGAGCGAGTTTGTGGAACGGTCCTCGTGCCGGGCAGACACATCCGCTGAGCTGATGTGCGCGGAAGCGATCCTGGACATTTCCAAGACGATCCTGCCGGCCCCCGTGAAGGGCAGCGACGGGTCCCTGTCCGCGAGCCCACTCTTCCACTCCGCCAACGTGCCTTCCCGCTCCGACGGCGACAGTAGCTCTGTGGACAGCGACGACAGCATCGAGCAGGAAATCCGGACGTTTTTGGCCCTCAAGGCGCAGTCGGGGAGTTTGCTGGCCAGAGGTGAGAGCTGCCCGCAGGCTGCCCAGGGCCCACTTTCGCCGCCTGGCCCCAACGGCCAGACCAGCGGCCCCAAGGCCCCGCTCTCTAAAACATCGGACCCACTGCTGGGCTGCAAAAGGAAGCGCAGAGGCGGCAGCCATGCGAGGACCATCCGTGCCCAAGAAAACACGGGAGGTGGTGAAAGACGGGGGCCGGGATGCTGACCACAGCCAGGGGAGAGCTGAGCCCGGCCATGAGGGGCGGGACCTGCCTGTCCAGGGCAAAGCCAGTGAGGCCCCCGGAGGGACGGGGACCGCTCGCCTGTCACAGGGCCAGAGTAAGACAGACGAGGCCAGGCGCCTGGACAGGAAGGAGAGCTCCGAGGACAAAAGCAGCTCCCTGGACAGTGACGAGGACCTGGACACGGCCATCAAGGACTTGTTAAGGTCCAAGCGGAAGCTGAAGAAGCGGTGCCGGGAGCCCAGGGCGGCCTGCGGGAAGAAGGTCCGGTTCGGCACCTCGCAGACACACTTTTTGGAGCAGCTGGGCGGGCTGCGGAGAGACTGGGAGGACAGGAGGCCGCCCGTGCTCAAGAGCTGCCTCTCCAAGTCCAAGAGAGACGGCGGCGAGGGCCCCGGGAAGAAATCCCCCAGCGTCTTCGGCGGCACAGCAGAGAGGGCGAAGCAGGAGGGTGCCGGGAGCCAGGACACGGCCCCCACCTTCCGGATGAGGAGACCGGCCTCTGCCTCCGAAGGGAATCCATTCCGCAGGGAGTCCCAGAGCTCAGCTCCCAGGCCAGGCTCCCTGTCTGACGACAGCAGTTCAGTGGACAGCGACGATAGCATCGAACTGGAGATTCGGAAGTTCTTGGCGGAAAAGGCCAAGGAGTCAGTGAGCAGTTCCGAAGTTCAGGCAGAGGGCCCGGCTGCCCTCGGGACAGGGGCCCCAGCCAGGCCAGAGGTCCTGGGCAGGAAGGAGCCCGCCCCGCCGCCTGGCATGTGTACCCGGAGCCAGAGGGCCAGGGGTGCCCCACAGCCGGCAGAAGGGTCTCGAGGCACAGAGAGCTCAGGAGCGCAGGGTGCGGCTGGTCTGTTCGGCCAGGGCGGGAAGGGGCTCCCGGCTGCTCCCGGCCGAGGGGATCCGGCACCACCTAGGAGCGCCAGCGTCTCTACCAAGGGGCTGTCACTGAGCAGGAAAAATGTTTACATTCACAGAGACCAGAGCCCACGAGGGACCGAGCCTGCTGCCAAAAGTGCTTTTGGTCCGCTGCCCAGCTGTGCCACAGCGGGCACCGAGGCAGCAGGTGCCCGGGGGACCTTTCACATGGGCTGCGGGAGCCGGGGCTTCCTGACCCCCAGCCCGGGAGCTGAGAGGGACGCTAGAGCCCAGGCTGACCGCACCCTGCCCTGGAGCGACTTTGCCCACCAGAGTCGGCTGCCCAGCCCGTGGGCGCTGCGCTCCGAAGGCAGAGATGCAGCGTGGAGTGGGGGCGTCGGGATCGAGAGAGATAAGGGGTCCGAGGGCCCCGCCCGGGGCCTGCCCAGCCTGCCCCTTGCCGGCTTTTCCCCACTGCTGTCCACCCAGCTCTTCCACTTTGGAAAGGGTGTCTCCTGGGGGGGCAGGCAGGCCGGCCTCTTCAGCCCCCACCTGGGGTTGCCTCTGCAGGGCCCGTCCTTCTCGGCCTTCAGGGAGGCCCAGGCCGGGCCCAGCCCTGTCTTTGGAAGCCCCCACCTGCTGGCAAAGAAGGATGGCGGGCCCTGGCCAAGCAGGAAGGCGCAGCCGGGGCTGAGTTTGCATGACAGGAAGAGCTCAGGCTCTGAGGAAAGCATCTTGGACCTGAGGTATCGGCGAAGGGTCATCGATAGGGACGACCAGGACCAGGACGCCTTGGGCAGTGACGCCAGTGACTTCAGCGACACCTCTGGTGAGGACAGTGGTGGCAGCTCAGTAGTGAAGGTGTAAGCCCTGGAGCTGTGGGTTCTGTCCTGGGCTCCATGCATTCGTGGAGAGCGGCGTAGCCGTGCGTGTGTCGTGCGTGTGTGTGATGGTCTGTAGTTGCCGGGAGGGGAGCAGGAGGCTGTTATACATACCCCTGTATATACGTACGCCAACACGAAACAATGCTTTTATTTAACAGACGTGTCCTGGTAAATATGATTTTTGTAGCTTTTTGTACATTATTTAAAGTGATGTAAAAAATATTTTTGGAAAATCCTGTTGTTCGATTTTGTAGGGTGTTGCTAACCGCCGTTTTCTGTGTTCTGCGTACAAGTCTTAGATTAGGAAACACTGGGTTCTTACCATCACAGCCAGGTTCACAGAGACTCTGATGCTTTCTGTCGGTTGCTGGTGAGAATGTCCAGCGGTGGCTGCAGTGGTGGCCTGAGGGAGGCTGAGCTGCCCTCCCGGGAATCACTCAGATGCCCCAAGGCAGGCGTCCCCAAACTTTTTACACAGGGGGCCAGTTCACTGTCCCTCAGACCGTTGGAGGACCGCCACATACTGTGCTCCTCTCACTGACCACCAGTGAAAGAGGTGCCCCTTCCTGAAGTGCGGCGGGGGCCGGATAAATGGCCTCAGGGGGCCGCATGTGGCCCTCGGGCCGTAGTTTGGAGATGCCTGCCCCAAGGTGTCGGTCGGGAAGCTCCTGGGACAGCACTTTTTATACAGAGGACACCAACCCCCCACCTGGCCCCCAGTCCTTGGAGGCCAGAACACATCCGAAAACTGCAGTCATAGCCGTCAGTTGGAAAAAAGTTTTGAAGCACAATGGCCATCGAGCCCGTGACCGCCCCCGTTGCATGTGAAATCCACGCAGATGTCAGCGGCAGTGACTGCAGCCCAGCCCTGGGCCTGGGTGGGTTCATGTCCAATCTTGTTCAATCACTAGATGATTCTAACATCTAAATAAACCTCTTTTTATACGGAGTGTCTGTTCTTTCTTAATCATGGTTCTAAAAGATAACCGATGCATTTAAAATTTCCTTTTCTCTGGCTAGGTGTGGTGGCTCACCCCTGTAATCCCAGCGCTTTGGGAGGCTGAGGTGGGCAGATCACCTGAGGTCAGGAGTTCAAGACCAGCCTGACCACCATGACAAAACCGTGTCTCTACTAAAAATACAACAATTAGCCGGGCGTGGTGGCGGGCGCCTGTAATTTCAGCAACTCGGGAGGCTGAGGCAGAAGAATCACTTGAACCCAGGAGACAAAGGTTGCAGTGAGCTGAGATCTTGCCACTGCACTCCAGCCTGGGTGACAAGAGTGAAACTCAAAAAATAATAATAATAATAAATTTCCTTTTCTTGCATTTGTCAGTAAGCGCTGCCTAGAACTTTGGTCTACAGAAACCTAAGACAGAGATGACGTGCAAAGCCCAATACTGGGGATAAGCGTTCTCCACACCTGCCCCCCAGAAACAGGAGCCCAGTCAGAAGTGTGCCCAGACGCCAAGGCAGCCCTCGCGACGGCTTTCTGCGAGTCGCCTCCCAGGGCAGAATGTGCAGGGCCCTCTCTTGCACCATGGCGTGGTTAAGGCGGTGGCCTCAGCCTCAGTGTTGGCGCCCTGTGACGCTGCCCTGGTGTTCCCATGCCTTCTGCTCTGAGGCCACCCAAGTGCCTGTGGCTACTGCAGAGTGAGAAGCAGTGTGGGCACTGATGGGCTGTGATGTTTACACTGTCATTGTCCAGCAAACTTTGACCAGTCACTGGAGGTTCCCAGGTCAGCCTCGTGGCTCAGCTGCCATGCAGGGTTTATGTTCTAGCTGAATCTCGCTGGTATTCTAACATGCGAGTGACTTGTCTACACACTGTGCATCCCGGGGTTCCAGCAAGAACTCACTTCTGCATCCAGATGCAGGCATGTGCCGCCTTCTGTCTATGGTCAACGTCTGCTGGGTCAGAAGCTGTGATGAGGGGCCCTGTGGTCCCCATTCCCATCAAGCCCGGTCTTGTGTGTTTGGTCTTTGTTGTGGCATATTGCTTCATTTAAGTGCTTCCAGGAGGAACAGTTCCATGTAATCCATGCTCTAACTTTTATTTATATTTCTTTTTTTTTTTTTTTTTTTGAGGCGTAGTCTCGCTCTGTCACCCAGGCTGGAGTGCAGTGGTGCAGTCTTGGCTCACTGAAACTTCTGAGTCCCAGGTTCAAGCAATCCTCCTGCCTCAGCCTCCCAAATAGCTGGGATTACAGGCGTGTGTCACCACGCCCAGCTAATTTTTGTATTTTTAGTAGAGACAGGGTTTTATCATGTTAGCCAGGCTGGTCTTGAACTCCTAACCTCAAGTGATCCTCTTGCCTCAGCCTCCCAAAGCACTGGGATTACAGGCGTGAGCCACCACACCCAGCCTTATGTATATTTCTAAATAGTGACTTAACCCTCAAAAAATCAGCTTCTTGTGTTCATGAGAACTGTTTTTCATAAATCGGGCACTACCCGTGAAATCAGTTTATGCAGTGTGTCTGCAGAGATGGGAAGCGGAGTCTGCCGGTGAGGGGTGTCAGCCGGAAGCCCCATTGTCCTGGGCCTGCCCAGGGAGGAGCCACAGCTGCAAGGCATGGAGCTCTGAGCCTGCCCCACTCTTGCCCCCATACCCATCCCTTAGCTCTTGCCCAAGCCCAGGGCCCTTTACACCTTCCCTCATGTTGCCATGTCCTCTGCCCATGCTCCACATAGCAGTGCAGGTCACAGCTGCTGCCGCCCCAGAAGGACCTCCCGAGCTTCAGGGACATGGTGTCCGTAACACATGGTCACCATCTAGTTCCCGTGTTCCACCTGCACGTGTGTGGAGAATCTCCTATCCATGTGCAGAGCAGTTGGCAGCTGGCCTGCAGTCATCATGGGTTAATCACTAAGAACCTCCCGGGAACCTGCATTTCTCTATGGTACATTCTGGTCCATTTTCAGTTTTTGTAAGGACGCATCATGTCATCACTGGGGTCACCCCAGGGAGGTGGACTATGCAGGATGTCACAGTTCAGAACTCCTTACTGATGGCCCTGGGGTCAGCCTCCACTGTGACAAGCAGTGGCTTAAACCCTGACCGCAGGGCCCTCCTGATGGGGTTAAAACAGATGATCCTCGAGAGTCCTCCCTGGAGCACTGGGGGCTCCCTCCAACCTTTGTTCTGCTGATTGCAGCTGCCCTCGAAGCTCCTCTTGTCCTGCTTTCAGGAGTCACTGGGACCTTCAGACTCAGCTAGAGATGCAACCGTTTGTGCCTTCCTGCTTTTCACAAACTGGAATTGCCCATGGGCCACGTGGCCTGGACGTTTTGCTGCTTCACCCCTACCCTGTTGTGTTTGTTTTAGAGAAGAGGCCAAGATCCAAAGTTCGTCTGCACCTGCCAACGGCTTTTCCTGTGTGGGCAGGGCCGCGGTCGGGGGTGGATAGGAGCTGTCCGGGAGGGATGCCCGCCCCTGTGTTTGCAGTCTGTCTCCCTGCACCTCCATGGACCTGGTGATGACATGACTACATCCCATGGATGCGGGCCTGGAGCCACTGTGGCAGTAGGTAGATGTGTGCCCTCCCTGCAGAAGGAGTCTCAGGTGGACGGCGTGCTGCTAAATCAAGCTCTTTGCAAGTCTGTGATTATTAAGACCTAGAGGTGAGTCACGCACAAGAGCCCCTCTCTCTTCCCAGGGTAGGGCCAGGATCCATTTCATCTAATGCAAAGAATTGGGAGAGGCCAGGTTTTAAGGCTTCTCGTCCTCCGGGGCGGGTCGCCTGACATCCATCAGTGTCTCTGCAGTCCTACCGGAATAGAAGCAGAGATGGGAAAAGCTCAGGCAGTTAATGTCTGATATTCTTCACCCACGTCCCCATATGAGGGGAGAAGATTTCTTCAGGGAAGAGTCCCCCTTGCTTTATCTGTCACTCAGAATCTGAAGGTTCAGACAGCAGGTTTTCCCAGCTTGAGATACATTTGCTTAGGAAAATCAGGCAGTACATTTAATTATTAGCACCTTATCTGCTCACATAACATGTAAAAGGCATTGCCCCCTGGATCCCCCCTCCCTCAAAATTAATGAAAAGATCTGTTTAAAGGGGGGTTGGGAACAGCACCGAACCCCCAGTCCATACCCACAAGTCACAACCAGGGTTATTCCAAGGCATGGCTGTTGGGGAGGGTGGGGAACATATCACTTAATTTGCAAAATTTTTGAGCCTTCTGGTATTTTATGTACTAAATGTAGAAGATTTTTTTTTTCCCATTGTCAAGATATTTTACTATGTAGTAGAAACCATTCTAATATTGACTGTCATTGAAAGATAAAGGGTTACTGATGAAAAATACAGAAATATAAATGAAAATGTATGTTCAAGAAGTGGCTGCTTTCAGACCAACCCAGCAGCAACATTCAGTGATTAGTAAAGTGACGTGAAACTTACTTTTCTTTTCTTTCTTTCTTTCTTTCTTTTTTATTTTTTTTGGAGACAGGGTCTCACTCTGTTGCCCAGGCTGGAGTGCACTGGTGCAGTCTTGGCTCACTGCAGCCTCCACTCCCCAAGTTCAAGCAATTCTCCTGCCTCAGCCTCCCAAGTAGCTGGGATTACTGGTGCACACCACCATTCCCAGCTAATTTTTGTATTTTTAGCAGACATGGGTTTTGCCACGTTGGCCAGGATGGTCTTTAAACATTTGGCCTCAGATGATCCGCCTGCCTCAGCCCTCAAAAGTACTGGGATTATGGGTGTGAGCCACCGTGCCCAGCCTCCCCTTTTAATTTCTGAGTGAAATAAAAAGGCTAAACAAAGTGAAGACGGCTCCACGGAGTGCAAAGAGAGGGTTTCAGAAACGGCTGTGTCCTTTTTCATCCAAATATCTCTGCAAACTGATGTGTTAGCCCATGTTTCCTGTAATTCTGAGATTTCGAAAGAACACCAAACGTCAGGAGAAGGGTGGGTGTCCTTTTCATTTTGCAACCCCCTGTTCTGGACGCTTGAATCCCAAACAGAAAACACACCCGTTTAGCATTTAGTTGGATCAGTGGACTTGTCTTTCTCTGCATGTGAAAATTTCAGTTTGGGAGTCTGTTCCAAAGATGACGGTCTCCAGATCTGTGATCCCTGGAGTTCCTGTATGACTCGCAAACACCTGGTAGGTTAGGACTGAATCTGCGGCTCTGGTGCCGATGGCCTCATGCCTCCAGGGTGTCTCCAAGGTGGGCTTGAGCAAGGCCTGCTCACAGCACTTCCTTGAGGTTCTGTTTCCCATCTGAGAGGGAGGCAGTGGTGAGACCTGCCCCAGGGGTGAGGACTGGGCAGGGTGATGGTGCCAAAGCCCTTAGAACCCCTTGAGACACCAAGAAACAAAGTGGCAGGCACATGCCCAGACTGGGGCACGGGAAATAGGCATGTTCACAATTCGGAGGTATTGGGGTTTTCCAGCTTTCCGGGCGTTTACTCTATTTAGAATACATGAATGGAGCCTAACTTTGCATCAGCTCATTAGCAGCAGTACAGAAACAACATTTTATTAGACATGACCAATCAAAGCACTCGGCGCCCACTTGAGGTGCCAGAATGGCACCCCTGAAGCCCACAGGAGGGAGGCACCTGTTGCTGCTGGTTGATACTCCCTGTCTGGGCCCCGGTGGCACCTCTGCCTAGAATCGGGGGTGTCACCGAGTTCAGTGGTTTCATCAGGTGTGACTCTGCCCGGATGAAGCGGTCTGGCTACAGCACGGCAGGTGTTCAGCAGTTCTGGGTTGGCGGGAAAGAAACCCAGTCATTTGATGGCTTTATCTTACCCTGGGGTTGCTAAACTGCTTTTCAAAACCATCTGCGGTGGAAGGAATGCATTCTTATTTTTTTTCTGAGACAGAATCTTGCTCTGTCACCCAGGCTGGAGTGCAATGGCATGATCTTGGCTCACTGCAACCTCTGCCTCCCAAGTTCAAGCAATTCTCCTGCCTCAGCCTCCCGAGTAGCCGGAACTATAGGCAGGCACCACCACACTTGGCTAATTTTTATATTTTTAGTAGAGACAGCTTTTCACCATGTTGACCAGGCTCCTGACCTCGGGGGATCTGCCCACCTCAGCCTCCCAAAGTGCTGGGATTACAGGTGTGAGCCACCGTGCCTGGCCAGGAATGTATTCTTTTCAGCATGTTGAGAAACCTGATTGATAAGGCATACTTTTTTTATCTTAATAGAAGCTAAACACAGATAGGTAACTGGTATTCTGGTTTTATTAACCAATGACTGCAAAAACATTTTCGGTTTGATGCCTGGAGTCTCTGCGGGTTTTCTAGCTCAGAAGAAAGATACTGTATAAATCCTGGCTTTAGGGCCAATTCTGTATATTTTTTTAATTAAATATATTGATTTTTTCTGGAAAGCATTTTTATCCCAAATTGGATATTAATACTGTTGCCAAAATGTTTACTTATATGTATTAACATGTCATTTATATGAAGAAATAAGCATTCACGATATTTCACTTCTTCCCTAACTCGTGAGTAGAATCCCTGCAGATAGGAATCTCCATAAACAAGGTATCATTGATGCCATGGAAGAGGGGTTCCTTCTTTCTAGTTTCAATACTTTCTAACTTTCCTGTAAGAACAAATCTTGCTCTCACAGAGGAAAAGAAAAATCCATGTCATAGACAAAATGTTTTGATTGGAGACCTTGTATAGTAAATGTGGATTTATGACAACACAGAGATAAAAATCCACTTAATGTAGCTATTACCCCACCTTAGCAAAATACAAGTAATTCCCTGCCTGCTTCTTTTTTTTTACTTTTTATTGGCATTTAAACATAGAGGACACCCATGTCTGCATCGGCCCCTTCAACAATGAAGGGCATTCCCCAGCCTTCTCTCGTCCCCTGCCCTGCCCCTTGCCTGTGGCTGGAGGACTTTCCCCCGCAACCCCGTGTTCCCCGAGTCATCTCAGACGGTAACCCCCCGCTGCCTGTTCAGCCTCGACTTGGCTGCCGAGGTGTCTGCTCCTCGTCCTGCCCAGCGCCTGGCCCTTGCCCACATTTCAGTGGGGCATTGCGTGTCCTCGTGGGAGCCCCAAGGTGCCGGTGCGGATCTCAGCCAGGGTGCTGGGTGCCCCAGGATAGGAGGTGCGCTCCGTAACTGGTCTTGTGCGTAGCAATGGCTCCCAAATAAAGGCCCCGGGCGGAGTTAGCCGCCAGCATTTCTGATGCTCAGGCCAGGATTCCACCCCGGGATGCCCACAGCCCCACTCCGCCGTGACAAATGTCAGACGAGACGGGAGCTCAGGATGTGACAACGGTTTTAATGCGAAGTCAACCATGAGCATCTTTCCCGTGTACTTATTAGACCTGAAACAGCAAGACTTCACAGCCCCGTTTGTATATTTTTCTACTCCGTGGAAAAACGAATATTTTCAGGGAAGGCGGTGCGGTCTGTGCTGTCACAACTGGGTGCATGGGGGACAATGATTTTTCTGGAGGCCCCTGGGGTCAGAGGACCCTGAATGGGGTTTCCAGCCCCTCAATCGCAGATGGACGGCCTGCTGCTGTTGTAACTGGGGTGGAAGTTGAGCCGGTCACAGGGAGTGATGTAGTTATCGGGGCCAGTCACGATGCTCTTCTCCATGTAAACATTGAATGTGTTGTTCCGGAACATTCCACCCGCTGCAAGTTGTTGGGAAAATTTATCTGAATTTGGATAAAACACTTTCTAGAAGAGATAAAGGAACATGAATTAATAATGCATGATACTCTTGAGCAATCCGTTGAATATTTTTGGAAGAAAAATAAAAATTCATAAGAAAATGCAGAGAAGCCAGAGGGGGCAGTTTTTACCCTCTTCTTTGAGGGTGCCCACCCCATGCCCCCCCAACACACCCAGTCTTGCTTCCCATTTACGGGCATCCGAATCCAGACCTGATGTGTGGCACTTGCTGCTAACACTGTCCCTTGCACTATTCTAAGGACAGAAGGATAAGCTTTGGGGCCACCTATGTGACACCTCTACCTCCAGATGTGGCTGTGAGCATCGCCGTAGGGTCAGGCCTGGAGTTGCCCCCAGGTCTGCTTTTCCTCACTGCACTACTCTGGGAAAGCCGCCAGCCCTCTCTGAACTCCAGTTTTCTCTTCGACGGAAGAGAAGTGATATCCAGGTCAGTGGGTCTCAACCTGTGAATCAGAACCATCTGTAAAGCTTTAACGAAGACACCACCACCCATACCCCGCCAGCACAGTGATCTGGGGCAGGTTGCCCTGTGGAGGTTGAGAAGGGGTATGGCGAGGCCACCCACATGGGCGGGCACCCCTGGTAGGAGTTATTCTACCAAGACAGCATCATTAGTTGACCTTGGCATTCGTGATGCCAGTGGCCTGGACCTCTGCCAAAATTTTACCCTCTATGGGTGACCTGGGTGATTCTATCACACGTCACCTGATGTCTCATCTCCTCAGCAAGAAGCAAGTGAAAAGAGAAAACTTTTTGGTTTTGAGAAGTTTTAGATCTACAGAAAAATAGAGCAGAAAGTACAGAGAGTTCCCAACCAACCTCCCTCGGCACAGACAGTTCCCGGTTATTAGGTTATTACAATGTTGCACTGGCAGCGCACTTGCTACAGTGGAGCCAGTGTGGACACTTTCCTAGTCACTAAGTCCACATTGTGCCCTGGGACAAACGACCTGGAATTCCATTAAAAAAAAAAAAAAAAAAAAAAGGTGCACTGAAGGGAATTCCTCTCCTTGGTACTGCAGGGGTGTAGTACCAAGGCGTGTGGTACCAATTTGCTCTTGTCACCCAGGCTGGCATGCAACGGTGCTATCTCGGCTCACTGTAACCTCCGCCTCTGAGTTCAAGCGATTCTCCTGCCTCAGCCTCCCAAGTGGCTGGGATTACAGGCGCCCACCACTATGCCCAGCTAATTTTTGTATTTTTAGTAGACATGGGGTTTCCTCATGTTGGCCAGGCTGGTCTTGAACTCCTGACCTCAGGTGATCCTGGGATCACAGGCATAAGCCGCTGTGCCCGGCTCTTCAGTGCACTTTTTAATGCAAGCATTTGTATTCTGTTCCCACATGGGAGGTAAACAGCTTCTCTGGCATCCACCCTTGGTCACGAAACTGGAACACAGACTCCAGATGCAGCAGGTGGATAAGAAGCAGGAAGACCTCCCTTGAAACCTGTCAGAGTCCCTCATGCCTCCTGTGCCATCGCCTGGCCATGTCAGTGACATGAAGGCTCCTACCATTTATAATAGGGACACGTTTTCAATGGCCTTTTATAAAACCTAAAACATCTGGAACCATATGAGTGAGTGTGCTGGTCTTGCTTGTTTGTTTTCGGTGACAGGGTCTGGCTCTGTCACCCAGAGTGGAATGCAATGGCACAATCACGGCTCACTGCAGCCTCAACCTCCTGGGCTCAAGCAATCCTCCCACCTCAGCCTCCTGAATAGCTGGGACTACAGGTGCATGCCACCACACCCAGCTGATTATTTTATTTTATTTTTGTAGGGATGGGATCTCACTACATTGCCCAGGCTGGTCTTGAACTCCTAGCCTCAAGTGATCCTCTCACCTCAGCCTCCCAAAGTGCTGGGATTACAGGTGTGAGGCACCCTGCCCAGCTGTGTCTGGTCTTTTTCATAGAAATACCTGATCTCCAGGGAAAACTCAGGGTCGTTTGACTCTGGGAGAGTGATTCTCAAATGCTTCAGCAGTGTTAGATAGTAATCTCCTTCTCACAAGAGCTCACGCAACACAACTAAATAAGAATTCACCAGACCTTTCAACGATGAATGTTTTGACAAAGAAAAAATGCCCCACAACATTCTCACCCCAAAATGGCTGTCCCAGTATCCCAGGTCCCTTTGTCCATTCACCTGTACCTGCGGGAGGCTTGTTGCGGGGAGGTTCTAGGAGGGCCTGAGGTCAAGTTCAAAAGGCGTTCGGCTTCCCCAAAGGCCCAGAAGCTCCGGTGCCCACCAATACGCCTTGCCTCCCACAGCCTATGCCGTCGGCCTGTACTGCCTCTTAACGTCACAAGTTAACATCTCATAAGTAAAATCCCAGAAAGAAAAAAACCCTGCATTGATTCGCCTCAGAACTGACCGCTGTAAGCTGCAGGAGGTGGTTGTGTGTATGTGTGACTGCTGTGCGTGTGGGGGGTGTCTGGGGACAGTGATGTCAGCATGTGTGTGTGACTGCTGTGCGTGTGGGGGGTGTCCGGGGACAGTGATGTCAGCATGTGTGTGTGACTGTTGTGCGTGTGGTGGGTATCTGGGGACAGTGATGTCAGCATGTGTGTGTGACTGCTATGCGTGTGGGAGGTGTCTGGGGACAGTGATGTCAGCATGTGTGTGTGACTGCTGTGCGTGTGGTGGGTGTCCGGGGACAGTGATGTCAGCATGTGTGTGTGACTGCTGTGCGTGTGGTGTCTGGGACAGTGATGTCAGCGTGTGTGTGTGACTGCTGTGCATGTGGTGGCTGTCTGGGGACAGTGATGTCAGCATGTGTGTGTGACTGCTGTGCGTGTGGGGGGTGTCCGGGGACAGTGATGTCAGCATGTGTGCGTGACTGCTGTGCGTGTGGTGGGTGTCCGGGGACAGAGTGATGTCAGCGTGTATGTGTGACTGCTGTGTGTGTGGTGGGTGTCTGGGACAGTGATGTCAGCATGTGTGTGTGACTGCTATGCGTCTGGTGGGTGTCCGGGGACAGTGATGTCAGCATGTGTGTGTGACTGCTATGCATGTGGTGGGTGTAAGGAGACAGAGTGATGTCAGCGTGTATGTGTGACTGCTGTGTGTGTGGTGGGTGTCTGGGACAGTGATGTCAGCATGTGTGTGTGACTGCTATGCGTCTGGTGGGTGTCCGGGGACAGTGATGTCAGCATGTGTGTGTGACTGTTGTGCGTGTGGTGGGTATCTGGGGACAGTGATGTCAGCATATGTGTGTGACTGCTATGCGTGTGGGAAGTGTCTGGGGACAGTGATGTCAGCATGTGTGTGTGACTGCTGTGTGTGTGGTGGGTGTCCGGGGACAGTGATGTCAGCATGTGTGTGTGACTGCTGTGCGTGTGGTGAGTGTAAGGGGACAGAGTGATGTCAGCACGTCCATATGCACTTTCCTCCTCTTTTAAAAACTCCACTCCCAAATGCATTCACTCACTGAGTTCCACACTACCCTCTCCCAAACGATTTGAGGAACCTCTCTCCTCCCCATTTGTCGTGCCGGAACTTTGGGGTCCTCCCCGGTACACCCAACAATAGGTCTCACTGTTGACCTATTGAGAACCCCAGGTTTTTAGCCTCTTCTTTGAGGCTGCCCACCCCCTGGCCCCCCCACGCCCGGTCTTGCTTCCCACTTACGGGCATCTCGTGCACGGTGGGGGCTCTGCTCCCGTAAGCCTGGTTACTGGTCCTGTACACTGAGACAGGCTTCTGGGTGCTGGTGGATGAGAAACACTCTATTTTCATTCATTCAATCTAATTCTATCCAAGCCACAGCCTTGTATTGTTGGAGACACTCCACTAGAAATGCCCCCAGGAAAAGAGCCATGTGCCTGGGCTGGCGATGGCAGCCTCAAAGGCAGCCTCCGGGAGTGCCTGGCTGACGGTCCTGGTTGGCCCGGCCTCCCTGGCCATCTCTGCTCACCACTGTCCCTGCTCTTTCAAGGCAGGCCAAAGCCCTGAAGAGCAGGCAGCTGGCAGGTGCTGACCCCCCAGCCCTGGCAGGGCCTTGGCACACGTTGCCATTTCTGGGTAACTTAGTCACTTTGTCAGGAGTGGAGGCATGGCCTCCAGATCCAGCCACCCAGAGGGTCCCTCTGCCTCTGAACCCCCACCCTTGCTGAGGCCATGCTTCTACCAGTACCACTGCCCCTACCTGTCAGGGACAGGCTACTGAGAGGCCGCAGGAGCGCACCGTGGCTCCACTTTATACCCCTAGATCTTGTCCAGACTGTTCTTCCTACATCCCTGTCATCTCTCTGGGAGAACAAGGATACAACAGACCCTGCCCTAGAGGACTGTTGAGGGACCAAATGCAGGGACACGGCCGCACGCCTTCACCTGCCTGTCGGAATTCAGAGTTCCTTAGGACTTCTTAATCTGCACAGCCCTGTGGCAGCTCACAGCTGCTGAGTCCACAGCAAGACAATGGAGGTGCTGCTGTGCTCACCCCTGCAGCGGAGTTTCAGGGTAGAGGAGAGGAGACTCACCCGACACAAAACCCGGAGCTGAGACCAAAGCTGGGCTTTCTTATCACCCCACGGCCCCGCCCCGCCTGACCCCATGCCCACGTCCTCATATGAGGCTCTAGGGAGCACTTCCGCAGCTCACTGGTGGGCCCCGATGACAACTCGCTCCTCTTGACTTCTGTAGCTAGGACCTTGGGGGTCTGGCGGGGTCTCTCAAACCTGGATATGGAGCAGTGGACACCAGGACCAGGCTCCGGCTTCCTCACCTGTAGCCCCGGAACCACCCCGGGTTGTTGAACCGGCCCGGCAGGTCCGCGCTCACGCGGTAGTAGTCGCTGGTCCTCTCCGGAGGGGCCGTGGCCTTGGGCTCCACAGGCTCCTCGCACGATCTGGGGCTTTCCTCTGCCATTGCGCCTCCCGCGGGAAGCTGGACTCGGCGGCGTCCTGTTGCCTAGCGACGGCCAGGTCACGTGATGGAGGCGCGAGTGGCGAAGCCTTAAAGGCGCCGCGCGTGGACCGGGCTCCTCCGCAAGCGAGTCCCCAGGGACCAGGAAGGTCGGGACGGCCAGGGATTCCCTGCTGGAACCGTCTTGTGGGGCAGCCCTAGGCCTCCAGGCGCCCGCGGGGGCACCGGGGCACCCCAGCATCGGGGCGTGGGCTCCCGGGGGAAAAGAACTCCAGGGCCCGGCCCCCCGCCAGCCAGGTGACGGGGTTTAAGCGCTGCGGATTCACTCGGCAGGCAACGATTGGACGCTCGCTGTCGAGTGTCCTCCACGGATGCCATGTCCCCAGCACCCCGAGTCTAAATTGAGACCCGAGATCTTGCTGACTCTATGCGATCCTCCTACGCCAAATATCGTTTAAATATTAAAAACAACTTTGAAGAGTCAGAGGTTGCGCGGGACATGGTTCACAGCTCACGTGGCGGGAGGCGAAGGTCCCCATCGCCCAGCGGGTGCCCCTAAGGGTCAGAGGCCTCCCGGGACAGCCCGGCACATTAGTAGAGCGGGGCAAGCTGCAGGACGAGCAACGTGCCCCACTCCCCGCCAGAGACTCTGGAGCCAGGGACCCCGGGTCCTGCTCCGTCGCCTGCCCCGCCCCCGCCTCCTTCGCCGCCCCCATCCCCGCCCCCACGTCTGCTTCGCCCCGCCCCCTTGCCTGCTCCGCCCCGCCTCCGTCCCCGCCCCCTCGTCTGCTCCGCTCCGCCTCCGTCCCCGCCCCCTCGTCTGCTCCAATCCGCCCCCGTCCCCGCCCCTCACCTGCTACGCTCCCGCCCTGTCCCCGCCCCCTCGTCTGCTCCGCTCCGCCCCATCCCAGCCCCCTCGTCTGCTCCGCTCCATCTCCGTCCCCGCCCCCTCACCTGCTCCGCTCCGCCTCCGTCCCCGCCCCCTCATCTGCTCCGCCCCCGCCCCGTCCTCGCCCCCTCGTCTGCTCCGCTCCGCCTCCGTCCCCGCCCCTCATCTGCTCCGCTCCCGCCCCGTCCCCGCCCCCTCGCCTGCTCCGCTCCGCCTCCGTCCCTGCCCCTCATCTGCTCCGCCCCCGCCCCCTCGTCTGCTCCGCTCCGCCTCCGTCCCCGCCCCTCATCTGCTCCGCCCCCTCCCCGTCCCCGCCCCCTCGTCTGCCCCGCCCCCGCAGGGAGGTCCCTGCCGCCTGGGGACAGCGCCATGGCTCCTCCGGGCCTGCAGATGGCGCTGCGGCCCCGCGCGGACAGTGGCGGGAGGGAAGGCCGCTCGGCCGGGCCCGGAGAGACGCCCCGCCCCGCCCCGCCCCGCCCGCGTCTACGCCATGGCGCCTTCCCCAGCAGCGCTGCCTCGAATCCTCTACGCGGGTGAGCGCGCGCCTGCCGGACTCTCGGGAGGAGGATGCGGAGGGCGCGCGGGAACCTGAGGGGGCGGCCGGGACCCGGGGCGGGCGAGGGGACCCGTGGGTAGGGGCGGGCACGGTGCAGCCGGGGCGCGGCGCCAGGACCTCTGTCTGCCTCCCGCAGGCGCCCGGGCCCCGTCGCGCTGGCTGGGCCTCCTCGGGAAGGCGACCCCAGGGCCTGCTTGGCCGAGCTGCAGGACGCTTGGAAGCGCGGCGGCCCCCGCGATCGGCGAGCCCGAGGACGGCAGCGGTAACACTGGGCGCCCCGCCGAGTCGGGTGGGAGCGAGGACAGGCCCCCTGGTCGGCGGCGAACCCTGCGGGGGTGTCGCTGGCCCGCCGAGGCTGGGAGCCCCAGGCTCGCCCAGGCGGACCCAAGGGACCCGGGGGTCCCCGACTCGGAGTCTGCCCGCCTTGCTGGACTCTTGATGGGACTTTCTGGCTGGGCACCTGAGACCCCAAGGCTGGGAGGTGCCAGAAAGACCTGAGAAACCCTCTGGGCCCCTCTTTTTCTTCTGTATTTTCAAGTAAGACCAAGGTTACGGGGTTGACCGGGTTCACCCAGGAGCAGGGTCGGGACCAGAACCCCGCTCCAGCCCTCCGTTTCCGGGAAAGGTCCCTGTGTTTCCAGGTCTCTCCTGGGGCTGCTGGACTCCCGGCTCCCCACCGCGGTGTCACAGGAGGCACGTGGAAGCAGGGGCGGGCGGGAACTGCACCCTGCTTGTCTCTGCTGCAACCGCTGGGAGACAAAGCCCGCCTCTTCCTCCCTGCCATAGATTTGCAGGACAAGATTCTGAACGAGCCCCTCAAGCACTCTGACTTCTTCAATGTCAAGGAACTGTTTTCCGTGAGAAGCCTCTTCGATGCCCGAGTACACCTGGGACACAAAGCTGGCTGTCGGCACAGGTAGGTCACGCCCCTGCCTGAACCCGTGCTGGTTCCCAGGACGGCTGGGACCTGGGGCCCGCCTTGGGTCTGGAGCCACTTTCGAACGGGCCTGTGCCAGTTTTAGGTGATTACAGCTCCTTCCTCCTCCACATGGGAACTCGGAGCCTCACAGAGAAGCAGCAGTTTACTCTGGCGCTTGGCTGGGGCGCTTGTGTGCCTGCGCATGGGGGTCACAGCCCTTAGTGGGGCAGGCCTGCTGGGGGCAGAACTTGTGAGATCGGCCCCCACTGGATCGGGCAGGGCTTTCTGGGCGGTGGGGAGCAGGAATGACTGGTCCTGTGTTCTCACATGGTCATTTTGACTGCTGTGGGGAGAGTGAATGGGAGGGGCAGGTGGGAGGCCAAGGAGGAAGTGGGGGGCGCGTCCAGGATGAGGGTGATGGGGCTCAAATTCCAGTAGCAGAATTGCTGCCGCAGCAAGGCAAACATGATGCTGCTGGGCAGAGCCCGTGGGCCTTGAGCTGGGGCCAGAGGAGGCTGTGGCCGGAGGGGGCTGGGGCCAGAGGAATCAGACATCTGCCCTTTGGTCACAGCCTGGTGCTGGTTACTGAGATGGTGAAAACCAGGGGACAGCTGTGGTCCTCACAGGCTTGCTACCTATGAGCGGTGAACCCTTTGCTGCCCCAGTGGCGAGGTCACACGGGTACCAGGAGGATTGGCCTGGGCTCAGGGAGCCATCGGCATTGGGGGCTGGGGGGTGTTTCCAGAGCACTGGGAAAGGAGATTGGAGGTGGATCCCTGGGTGGTGCAGTGCTTGGAGTGAGTGAAGAGGGATGGCCAGGCCTGGGGGGGATGTGGTTCTCTGTTGATGCTGCTGAGAAGTGAATTTGAGGGCGTGACTTTGGGAAGATGGAGGTTGCCAGTGCCTTGATGGGCAGGGTAGCTTGACAGAAAGGGACAGAACCCGGTCGGAGTAGACTGGAGGAGAGGACCCGGGAACCGCAAATGTAGATGACTCGCCTGCCCTGCGCTGAGAGGCAGGGGTTGTCTCCCAGCCCCGCTGTTCCTCAGCCCAGCTCCGCAGGGGTCAGTGCCCTGGATCAGCGTTCCTACCAGGCCGGACTACTCCCACCCTTTTGGCCCAGAGCTGAGGCATGCAGAGGGGTGGCTTGGACGAGGTCTTCACTGCTGTCTGTCCACATGGGGAGCGGTGCACATTGTGCCTCCCAGCCCCTAGTGCCCTACAGAGGAGCCTGGGAGTCCCTGGTGGGCGTCTGTGCTCCAGCAAGGGGCCAGTGGAGGTGGCCTGTGACCTCTCATCCCTCTTTCCTTGACCGGCTCTCCGGCAGGTTTATGGAGCCGTACATCTTTGGGTGCCGCCTGGACCAGGACATCATCGACTTGGAACAGACGGCCACGCACCTCCAGCTGGCCCTGAACTTCACCGCCCACATGGCCTACCGCAAGGGCATCATCCTGTTCATAAGCCGCAACCGGCAGTTCTCCTACCTGATTGAGAACCTGGCCCGCGACTGCGGTGAGTACGCCCACACTCGCTACTTCACGGGCGGCCTGCTGACCAATGCGCCCCTGCTCTTCGGCCCCGGGGTCCGCCTGCCCGACCTCATCATCTTCCTGCACACACTCAACAACGTCTTTGAGCCCCACATAGCTGTGAGAGACGCAGCCAAGATGAACATCCCCACCGTGGGCATCGTGGACACCAACTGCAACCCCTGCCTGGTCACCTACCCCGTCCCTGGCAACGACGACTCGCCGCCGGCCGTCCACCTCTACTGCAGGCTCTTCCGGACTGCCATCACCCGGGCCAAGGAGAAGCGGCGGCAGGTCGAGGCCCTGTACCGCCTGCAGGGCCAGAAGGAGTCCGGAGCCCAGGGCCCAGCCCACCCTCCCGGGGCCGACGCAAACCGCTCCCTGTGATGTCCACCCTCCTCCTCTCTAAGCAAACCGCGGCCCAGCCTGTCCGAGCTGAGCCCCTTCCCCAGCCCTGGGTCAGCGGCATCCTTTGTCCTACGTGTGACTTAGTAGATGTCACGGTGCAGACCTCCACCGTCCCACCGCAGAACCAGGGGCTGAGCAGACCGACGTTGCCGTCTGCATCTGCTTTATGGGGAACAGAGCAGAGGGTGAACGACATGCCAGGCGGCCCCTGGCTGCAGTTAGGACTGGAGCCTGCCGCCTCCAGGGCTGCTGCGGTCCCTGCAACCCGAGCAGCCCTCCCTCACCCTGACCGTGACCTTCGTCAGGAAGGTGTGGTTTTTCTTCTCAGTCTCAGTGCTTTCAGGTGGGCTGCTTTCTTGTCTGCCTGGTTCCAGGGGCTGTTTCGGAATGAGACGCTGCAGGCAAGCTCCCAGCTGGGTTGGTGGGACAGCCAGGCCAAGCAGATGACCTGATTCCGGCAAAAATAAAACTCAGATTTGGGCAAAATGCGTCTTGGAGCTTGGGGTTCCGCCTGGAGTGGCGCGCTCTCGTCCGTGTGGTGTGGCTTCTCAGGCGCACACTGGGGCCCCAGTGATGCGAGATGGGACGGACACTGTGCGTGAGGGGCGTTAGTGAGGTCAGCGGAGGTGCCAGCTGCCACCGGAGGGCGCCGTCGTCCGCGGTGGAGCTCCTGACAAGCCCACAGCCCGGCCAGCCTCATTCATCAGAGCAGGCTTGGTGTGGACCCAGCTTCAGGAAAGACAGGCACTTGCTGACAGGGACGCTTAACACCCCCCACCCCCAGTAGGGACACAGCTGTGTTTCTGGGATAAGCTGCGGCCGCCTCTCTCAGCCCCGGCCCCTGCTGCCTGGACGTAAGCCGAGCGTGCACCTGACCACCCCGAGGAGCCATCTCTGGGCAGAGTCAGGTCTGGCGCCCGGGAAGGGCGAGGCCTGCCCTGCAGGAGCAGCTCAGGGCGGTGGAGGCTGGGGTCCAGTGTCCTTCCCTGCCCCTTCAGGGTTAGGCTGGCGAGGGGTTCATGGTGGGGGTCCCCAGGGGCGTCACGCGTTTGTGGTGTGGTGGGACAGGGAGCTGAGCTTCAGGTTCTCTGGCCAGCATGGCTGTCATTTGTAAACCCAGAGTCTGGAGATGCAGGTGTAAAAAGGCAGGTGAAGCCCCTCCAGGGCCCCCCAGAATCCCTCCCGGTGTGCAGGCAAGATCCCCTGAGCTGGGCCTCCTACCCCACAGAGCTGGTGAGTCAGCTGCGGGGAGCCAGGGCCCTGGAGATGAGGCGGCAGTATGAAATATGGCCAGTGACGGTGGGGGGCTTCCAGGAGGTGCTCCTGGAGATGGGAATGGGCCTCCCCAGGGGAGGCCTTTGTAGCGGAGATCTAGGTCAGCCCCTAGGAGCTGGCAAGGCAAGGCCCTCCCCTGCAGAGCCATTAGGGAGGGGGTTGCAGGTCGCCCCAGGGATTAGACCTCAGGAGACAGTGGGCACAAACACAGGAGGGGTGGGGGCAGTCTCTTTACTGGTCTTTCATTTTGAGGCCGGATGGAGGGCAGCGGCCCAGGGAGTGCTGTGGCTAACCCTAAGAGCCTGGGAAGAGTGGTGGGGGTGAGCTGGCCCGGGCAGCCTCCCTGGGTCCCCACCAGTCCTGCTTACCTTGCGCCTATGGCCTGTCTGGCTCCTGCTGGCCCCTGTACCAGGCACAGGCTGGTGAGGACCTGCCGAGGAGCTCTGGGTGGGTGATTGCTGAGTTCCAGGGCAGGAGGGGCCCTGGCCGAGGGGATGACCCATTGGATAAGCGGGCACCAGTGACCATAAGGAGCAGGGAGGGACAGGCAGGGAGCAACGCAGAGGCTGTGGGGGCCATGCTGGGACAGGCAGGGCAGGCCTGAAGGTCGCCTCCACAATGGAGAGAGCCAGCTTCCAGGATTCAGAGGGGCTCTGGGTGAAACAAGGTTGAGGGCTGAGGGCATGGGTCTCACCCCATCCTCGACTGACAGGAGAGGCCTTCCAGGTTTTCCACCCTGGAGATGAACCCCAGGAGCCCGCAGAAGAGGCCAAAGGAGATGGTGGGATTGCCTGAGGCTGAGGGGGTGGGCAGGGGAGCTGTCCCGGGTGTGGGGAGAAGGGCCCCCAGCCCTTTATTCCCATGGCCACAGTGCCTGCAGGCCCATTAGAAGTGGCCTTCTCAGGACTGGCAGGGCTGTGCCTGGACCAGCTGGTATCCCAGACGCTGAGGAAGACCAGATGCAGCCACGAGAGGACGGGCCTGGTGGAGGCTGCTCAGGGCAGCGTGGGTGGGGAGAGCCAGGGAGCCCTTCCAGCCCTGCCGAGGCTGGGCCACTCCCACTGACATCTGGAGGACCCCCATTTGCCTGGAGGAGCTCAGGGCAGCCCGCCGTCAGCACAGGCCAGGCTTCCACTCTGATCCCTCACACTGCTCCCCGGGTGTGTTGGAGGGGTCTGTAGGGGAGGGCCTGCCCTGGGCAGGAGCAGGGTGTTGAGGCAGGAGCCTGGGGGCCCATGAGGATCCAGGCCAGCTGGGTGGGACAGGGACTCTGGGTGATGCCCTCGGCTGACATGGGCCCTAACCCTCGAAATGGATCTCACATCATCCTGGCTGGAGGTCTGCGCAGACACGGGTCTGTGGCTGATCCGGGGAGTGGAAGGTCAGGTGGGTGGAAGTGACGAGGGCTGGGCCCAGCTCTCATGTTCCTGGGTCTCTGTCTCTGCAGAACTCCACGCAGGAGACCGGCCAGGAGTGGGCTGAGGGGGTGACCCCCACTCTCTCCCAAATGAGGGACAAGAGTGCCTCACCACCAACAAGGGCCAGCGCTGGCTGGGGGTGCAAGGGTGCAGGGGAGGTCTCCATAGCCAGGGCCCCTGGGCGGCTGGGAAGGCCTTCTACCCAAATGCCCCCAGGTGGCTCCCAGCACCCTCCCAGGGCTCTGCCTCTCCAGTCGCCCCCAGTCCCAATTCCAGGACCCTAGGCCTCCTCCCACCCTCACCCCACCACCATCCCACCCCAGCTTGGCCAGGTGCAGAGTGACTTTTCACATTGGTATAGGAATAGCCAGGAACATTCTTCTGGACTTCTCCAGTTCACGTTATGGCAACGAGCGATTGGATTTGGTTCGTGTTTATACGTTTGGGCCGTCGGTCCTCCCTTTGGCCCACCCCAGAGTGAAAGTGAGTCAGCCCTGTTCCTGGACGGGCCTGCAGGGTGGGAGCCCTCACGCAGGCTCCATGGAGAAGCCAGAGTGTCTCCTCGGGCAGGCAGGGCAGTGCCCCCTCCTCGTTCCCGCCTTCCTGCGCACCGTGGAAGTTTTGCCCCCACCCCAGGGATGCTGGACCTGCCGTTCCACAGGCGAGCACAGCCCGCTCCCACACCCACCGGCTGTGGCTCTTGGCAATGCCACCTCACCCCCGAGCCTCAGCTGGTTTGTGTGGGAACTAGGAGCTAACAGGACCTGGTGAGGCTGCTGTCAAGCCTGGGTGGGACGGGCCGTGGAAAGCGCTCTGCTCACGCCTGGCCCTGGGGACTGCGCCGCCCGGCTGTGGTGTTCTCACTTATGGTTTTCTTGTCCCCTCTGTGGGAAGCTCTCTGGCCCGGGCCTCACTTGTGTGTGTAAAGCAGTTTTCCCACTTGTAGAGAACACTCCTGGTTCCACGTGGGAGGTTCCCATCCTGGGTAGAGCAGAGCAGGGTCCTTTGGGGAGGGTTGAAGGGCCGAAGGGCCACTCAGGTGTCTGGAAAGGAGCTGGTTGGAGCTCATTCGTTCAACACACATGAAGCTGCCCCTCTGGACTTCCCTGAACCCATGACTGTGTGTACACAGCAATTAAACAATACAGAAATGAGGAACAGAATTCGAAGAGGAGCAGAGGCAAACGCTCAGGGCAGCTTTTGTTCTATTTAAGATGTTTAAAGCCATGATTTTCTTAAGAGATTTCCATGATTTAGCACAAGGACAATCTTACAGATGAGGACATTCGTGTCCAGAAGGTAGAGACACCTGCTCTAGTCACAGCCAGTGTGGAACCTTGGCGGAGTTTGGATTTCTGAAAGCAGACAGGGATGTGGTGACAGTCGGCTGCAGATGATCGCAGAAGCCTTCGTGAGGATCCGGGAAGGTGAATCTGGAGGAGGGAAGCCAGTGAGTGGCCTCGAGTAAACCCTGCAATGAGGACCCCACTCAGTCTCACAGGAGTCCATGTCCCGCCGGCTGGGCTCTGTCCCCATGGCTGGAGGAATTCCCTGGGTTACTACACCTTTGCTCTGCTGGCTGGTGCAGTGCGTAGGGAAGGAAGCCCCAGTGGTGGCCGGGAGGGTCCACAGGAAGGATACACACAGGTGTCAGGGAATGCTGCGGCCTGATGGAGACCAGCTCCCCCAGCTTCAGGTGAACCCTGGTGGGCTGAGGGGACGTGTGAGGGTCAGCAGCAGCATGGCCACCCCAGCCAGGTGTGGTGGCGCACGCCTATGGTCCCAGCTACTCCGGAGGCTGGGACAGGAGAATGGCTTGAACCCGGGAGGTGGAGGTTGCCGCGAGCCGAGATCACGCCATTCCACTACAGCCTGGGCAACAGAGTGAGACTCTATCTCGAAAAAGAACAGTATACGCAGGAAAAAAAAAAGAAAAAAAAAACCGACACAAAAGTCCATGTATGTATGATCCCACTTACATGAAGTGTTCAGAATAGAGCAGTCTCTAGATACGGCAAGTGGGTTCGTGCGTCCAGGCTCGGGGCGGGCGATTGGAAATCAACTGCTCATGGGCATGAGGGACCTTTCTGGGGTCATGGGAATGTTCTAAAGCCAGACAGTGCTGGTGGCTGCGCAGAGCTGCAGATGTCTTGAGAGAGGTTGAATTGTACAATGGATAAACATTATGATGGGTCAACAAAGCTGTTCAAAGGAAGTGATCAGAGGTGACCCAGAAGCAGTGCTGCCCCCAGCGGAGGCAAAGGAGGAAGAAGGAACTTAGAAATGTGCCCAGAGCAGGCTGGGGTGGTGGCTCATGCCTGTAGCACTTTGGGAGGCCGAGGCAGGTGGATCACCTGAGCTCAGGAGTTCGAGACCAGCCCGGCCAAATGGTGAAACCCCATCTCTACTAAAAATACAAAATTAGCCGGGCGTGGTGGCGCATGCCTGTAATCCCAGCTACTCGGGAGGCTGAGGCAGGAGAACAGGCTTGAACCTGGGAGGTGAAGGTTGCAGTGAGCTGAGATCGCACCACTGTACTCCAGCCTGAGCGACAGAGTGTGACTCCATCTCAAAAAAAAAAAAAAAAAAGAGAGAGAGAGAGAGAAATAAGAAAGAGAGAGAGAGAGAGAGAGAGAAAGAGAGAAATGTTTCCAGAGCAAAAACAGCCGTTTTCTGAAGAATGGCCCCATGATGGGTTCAAATCCAAGAGCCTCCTTGAGGAATAACAGCTTCATCACCATCTAGTTCGGGCATGGCCCTCTTCCCAAAAACCAAAACAAAAAACAAAGACAATG